CCATATACAACATTGCAAAATGAAGCACGGGAAAAAAAACGAAATTTGCCACCCACATTTTTCACAATCACGGTGCCACGTCCTTCAAGCCGTCTTCGGAACTCAAAACAGATTTTCGAGGAGACCTTGGGTGAGCCAATTACTCACCATGGGTTCAGCCTCGATGTGTTCTCACCAAAAAAAACACGCATGGCAAATATTTTCCAAGAGTACGAAGAATTTCCGCAAAATATGTTGATGCGGAACTATCGGACATGTTTTTCTTGACCAAAATGTTTGCCAACAATCATCTTCCGCGGGGAATGGCCGCCTCAGGTTCCAACAAAGCAATGGGCCGTAAGACCTTGTTCTCTGCGAGCACACGCTCGTACTCCACACGTAATATGCGAAGAGCTTCTGCGAAGGCGACTTCTTGGGCACCTGGCAAGCGAGATCATATGTCGCACATGTGCCAGGCATGTGCGGTATGTCGGAACACCAATGCAGCGCATACAAGGGACAATGGCAGTAGAAATTCAAGCATGTGCGGATGGGAAATGGTTCCTGCACAAGGTAACGGAGCAATGTGTTCGCAATGTTCGCTTTTTGAAAAATCATTTTTTTGAGTAACCTCAGGCAGTGAAGCATAAAACGCAACAACCCAGTCACAATTCGGCCAAACATGATCATGAACAAAATTGTGTGAAACTGTTACTTCGATTGCTCAAACTGTTTTGGAGACAATCATGCGTGAGAAAGGACACAAGAAAGGCCTGTATAATGTTTTTTTACCACATGTTTTCTCTGCTTGATGGCCTGGTCGGGCTGCAGTGTGCCGGATGCAAAAGAAAAGTCGCAGTAACCAATCCGGGAACTGATTTTTATTTTTAAATTTGTAACAAACATGAGCATCATCACTGCACAAAATGATACACCAAAACAAGTTGCTGAAAATAGATTGGCCATAGATAGTAATTAATTAATTAATTACCAATTCAGTCACATATCACATTAAATGTCCGTCAACAAACAAGTTTCTTTGAAACGAAATAGGACATCAAAAATTGAAACATATATGTCCGCCATGCCTCACACGTCACAACAAATGATGTTTTAATTGCCGTTCAAACGTGCAGCAAAGTGATCCCAACGGTTCCCAACTCAAAACGCCAAACTTATGCCAACTGTTGGCAAGTCACAAATCTGGCCAAAATCAACTTTAGCGAGAGGATGCAACCCCTGAGGATCCAAAATGTTAACTAGCTGCAAAATGTTGCAAATATTTGCATGCATTTGGGCACGCACGCTCTCAGAGCGTCCAATCATGCCATTTGCGGTATGACCATGATTTTTGCATGCATTTCCGAGCGTTTACTTCTCGATTGATTTTCAAAAACTCCGAGAATTTTGGTAACCTTATCACGCTCTGTCACGGTCACGGTGGTATTCGAAAACTGGCGAGTGGCATTCGGAAACTGGAGGTGGTATGCGGAAAAGGGAATTCGGAAACTGGAAGTGGTATTCGGAAACTGGAAAGTAGTCTTCGGAAACTGGACAGTGGTATATTCGGAAACTGGACAATGGTATTCGGAAATTCGAAGGTGGTATTCGGAAACTAGAAACCCTGCATTCGGAAACTGGGAGTTGTACTCCGCGAAACAAAAAAGTGATTTTCAGAAACCGGGAGTTGTATTCGGAAACTATTCTTCGGAAACTGGAACCCTGGAATTGGGAAACTTTCGAGATACAACCACAGAACGCTGATGTGAATTTTCTACCATCCGCTGAGTTCTTCAATGGTGATCCCTCATGAAGATATGTTGAAGTTAAGATCCTATATGATCCTATTCAATATATTGGCCAGACAGGGTGGCAGTTTTGATCCCTCATGAAGAATCATGAAGATAAGTCCAAGGTAAAATCCTGTTCAATATATTGGCCAGAAAAGGTTGCAGTTTTGATCCGTTCTGAAAATAAGTTTTGGTCATTATGCCCATCAATGTACTTCTGAAAACGCTCAAGCATGCTCAAGCTGTCTTTTCCACAGCTACTCGCGCCACTGGTATTAGCGGCATGTGCAGTTGTCACATCTGATATGAACAGATGCTACACAGGTGATGCAGGGTTAGCTAGAAATTCATACCCCGCCTTGGAAATTGGTGATTTTAAGCGATTTCCACCTTCTGTGCCACCTGTTTTCATTGCTACACCTTAGGGTTGTTCGTAACCCATTTTGTCTCTTCCAATGGTGTCTTACCATGTTTATCCACTCTCAGCCTTCGTAGTCCCACTCGGTAGACCTTGCGCTCGATGAAGCGCCACCTTCACCAGCTTCTCGGCCATCTCGATCACCACCACCATCATCTGCATGAGGTAGGTCTTGCGGGTCCACGTCGTCATCATCATCATCATCATCATCATCATCTCTTTCTTCTTCTTCACCTTCTTCATATTGGGAACCATGTCGCGTAGTTCCTTCTTCAAAGAAACTCTAATCTCTTCCAGCATCTAGCCAATCACGAACATGATAGGCTGCGTCGATCCACAATTGTGGCTCTTTCGATTGAAACATCACCAGTGGAGCTTGTAGGCTACGTAGAAGACGTTGTAGCCGGGAATGCTCCACTAGATCTCTGCAATCTGCCAGATATTGGGAAAGTTCACGACAGTTGTGTACTAGGACTGTCTCAAGTCCTAGTCCTTGCATTATCAAATCCCATCTGTGGTCTTCAAATGCAGCGCTCTCCCTGGGCACCAAATCCGACACCATAGTAGACTGCTACTGCCCGGGAATCTTGAAAGTAGTTGACATTGTCACCAGTAGGAAGGGTCATCTTCAATCATCAGGTTCTGGAGCAATCGCACACCTTGTTCGATCTGCCAAACGACGTTGTCGACCTTCTGCAAGAGGCTTTGGCATAGCTTTTGGGGTAGGTCGATCAGGTGTTGTTCCAGGAGTTGTCTCCCTTGCTCTCGATCTCGAACGCATTGAACTGAGAGGTACATAGTGTATATCTACCCATTCATCAGGGTCAGATACCTCGCATTGTTCATTTTGAACCTTTCTTCTGGAGTTTCTGTGTCTTCCTCCAGCCAGGCATCATCGGCGCTTTCACGAGCTACACCACTGTCAGCAATCTCAGCAATTGCGTTTGTGAGGATAGCTAGGCCTTCCTCAGTTGTAGGAAACATGTCTCCTGGTACTGCTCGATATATACCACTGCTTGACGCGGGTTCTCCACCTTCCACGATCTTCATGTTCTCCAGGATTTGCTGCTCCATGAGTTCCATTTTCCAAGAAAATTTTTGGGTGTCTGTTCACTTCGCGATCTTCCATCTCCATGACAGCATCAAACACTCCAATGGTCCGATCAATGCTTGCTTCCACTTCTGCATCTCCAACTGTGGTATCATCTTCCATGTTTTCCTCTTCCCTGAGTTCATCGCTGATCCAAATTCCACTGAAATGGCGTCCAGGGGCATCATGTAGACCATTTTGCACAAAAGGGTCTTCTCGATCAGTCAGTCAGATCCATGATGTTTCTGATTGAGCACCAAACTTCCTGGTATTTGTTCATCTCTTCTTTGAGCTTCTTGATGTGGTTCACCAAGTAGGTCACCAATCCAATCAGCACCAACGTTGACAAAGCCCACCACGCTGTTGGAGTCCATGACATAGGGCGTGTCCACGTAGTAAACGAAGAGTTTGTCATCCATGTTGTGCCTTCACATCCTTGAAGATTTCCTGCCATCATCATCGCGGTGACACGCACGATCTGTTTCACCTTTGCTCCACCAACAATGTTCTCCTCATTGGAAGTTTCGCTCATCAATCCAATCTTCTTCATGAAGTATTCTCTGCGATCTCTGGATCAAGTTTTTGTATTCAAATCAGCAGGATTCTCTTTTGTAGAAATGCGCTCCACCAGAAACCATTTCTTTCTCATTGCTTGTTGACTCCAAAGGATTCGTGTTGAAAGATGTTTTGCTAGACCAGGTCCAAGTCGATTGAAGAAACTTTGGGCACTTGTTGAATCCAATCGCAGTCTCATTTGCACTTGAGCATTGTTGCTCAGTCCACCTTCGTCTCCAAGAAGGAATTGAAGTAGTTGTTTCAACTGAATATTTTCCACCAGCAAACTCGTGGCTGCAAGAATTTCAGTTTCCATTGAGGAGAGGGAAACTGACATCTGTGCACGACTCCGACTGTGCACACAGCATGAGTTCACGAAGATGAGACCTGATGACGTCGATTTTCTCGTCACCCTGCAACTTGCCCAATCGCTGTCACTGTAGAGCTCAACCTCATAAGGTTTTCCATCACGCCTTTCATCAACACAATTCCACCGAGTCAAAGTAGAGGTGAAATATTCAGTTTTTGGGTAGTGCATCTTCATGTCCTGGGTTTGCACCAGGTAACTCCCAAGTTTTCTCAGCGCACACAGTGAGGTTTGCACCAAAAGGTCCATTTTTCTTCGGCATCAACTTCTCTGAAAGTTTGTTGAAGATCTCCTCTGTGTCTTCCTTGTTTGCCACCAAAAGCAAATCATCAATGTGAGCAGAAATGAAAATTTCTCGTTCACGATGTCAAAAGATAGTTCCGTGCATATGGACAAAGTTCAGCTCCTCCAGCAACTGTGTCAAGCGGTCGTCCCACCTCGTAGCTGCATTGCGTTGACCTGGCAGGCGAAGTTGCCAAAACATCAGGCTGATGTCATTTGCTGCCACTCTCACCCAATTGGGTACTGAAACCACCACGTTTTCCTTCCGCCAAACTTGAAGAAATGCATCACTGACATCCAATGCAGGCATCATCAACTTTCGCACCAGTGAACTCACCATGAAGACTTTCACCAAAACAAAGGTGTAGTAGGGCTGAATGTCTCCTCTGTTGATGCGTTTTGTCCTCTGAATTCTCTCGCAACCATTCTTGCCCTTCTTGTCCAACACCCTTGCCTGAAACTCCAATGTCTCACCAGCTTCGTGTCCAAATGCAAAGCTTGAGGCACGTCCAAACCAGCTTACACATCACTGATGACTTCCAATTGTCTCAATCTTTCCAACTCAGCGTACATGGCCTGTTTGTCCAGGTAAGCCAGCTCTTCAGCGCTAACTTGAGGAGGTCCTGCATTCTCATTGTGGGATCCTCTTTTGGCCTTGTCCACCTCGGAAATCTCGTGCTCTGAGAAGTCACCATCCAGCAATTGATCATTGACGTCCCAATCCCATGTTTCAAGTGGGATTTTTTCTTCAATTTCATCCTCATCATACAGCTCAATCTCCTCAGTGATTCTGCGTACATGACCAGTTGTAGTAGAGGGACTTGATGTTGCTGCCGTAGGACTTGAAATCTTATCACCTGCAAAAGTTGGGCTGAACATGCCACCAGTACGAGAGTGCTTGGCCTTCTGCTCCTCACTCTTGGTGTGGTCAAACTTCACAAATTTTGCCTGTGTTGAAGGTTGATTTCCTGTGGGTCTTTTGACTCCTTCAGGGTCTGCCACACGCTGTTTCGAAACCATAGGAAGTGCTAGCTCCCGTTCACGGTCTCTTTTCGCTGCCTCGGCTATCATTCCTTCAAATTCTGCATCGGAGATTTCAGGTAGTTGGTTGTCCACTGCTTGAAGTTCTTGTCGAGGAAGTAGAGGTTCACCTGCTTCCTCTTTGTTTTCATCTAAGTGATTTTTGGCATATTTGATCACCGCCTCCTCGTCAATGTCTCGTTCTGGTTCAACTTCACCTTCAGCTCCATGTAGACGAGGTAGAGGTTGTGCAAGAGGTTTGGATAGTTTGAGAATTGTTTGTGTTCCACGTCGAAGATCCCAAGGTCCAACTTCCATACTGATCCATAGCTGCATCCCAATGCTCTGATTTTTTCCTCGCAGTTTTGTTCCTCAGAACTTCGCGGGAACCAACCACCACAATGTCATGGTCTGCTTCATCCTTTGTCATCCAACATCTTCTTCTCCATTGACATTGATAGGTCTTTCGCAGAGAATCCAAGGTGTAAGCCATGTAGGCAGTCACACCTTTTCCTGAAGTCAGATGACAACGATTCAGCAACCAACCAGCATGAATCATTGCCCATCCACGCAACACATGATCCTCTGGAATCTTCATCTGCATCTTGTCCTCCAGGACTGCAACCAAACATTTTCCTTGCGCTCTGACTGTTTGGATTGTTCTCTCTGCCAAACCCGTGCGGGATTTGGAGTACATCTTTCCAGGTTGAGGCGTCATCGGAAGTCCTTGGTTGGAACGGATCACCTCGGTCATGTTGACACCTGCACTCAAAACTGGTTCATTGTCATAGCTAACTTCCACAGCATCAAAGTAGGAAAGGTTGGAAAGGAATCGAGCCAGGATTGTACCAATCACACCAGCATTCTTGTTACGCAGAGGTTCGACACCAACATACTTGGTCCAGACATCGACCATCAGGAGTACGCCCATGTAGTTCGGCATGGCAAAGAGGCCAACCTGAATCGTTGCCCTTCCATCAGGTGTGGACCGATGCTTGTGGTACCCTCTGGAGTTGGTTTGTACGCAAAATGCACACCAAGCACGAAATGGCAAATGGGTCACCACTCGCAATTTTCTCTCTGCAGCACTTGGTTGTTTTGGTGCATCTGTGAAGCGAGGTCTTGGATCCAGAGCTTCATATTCTTGTCGTGCAACTTCCAACGCTTGCATCTTCAGTGCAGTAAAGTGGTCCTCCTTGATCTTGGTGAAGATCTACTGCTTGGAACCTGATGCTGACACCTTCAAGAATCTTGCTGCTCTTCTCAACTTCTCGACGGAACTGCTTGCAATTAATTCTTCTTCTCCAACTACCACTTTGTCTGCCGATTCTGCTTCATGCAGTGCAGGTCCAAGTTGTTGGAACTCAGGGATTTCTCTGCCCTGAATGTCTTCGTCTCGAACTGCATCACCAATGTTTGCCCCTTGAACTTCATCACCACTGGCATCTGATCCAAGAGGAGTTCCAGGTTCGTAGACGACTGCAAGGTGTTGTCCACCTTGATCAAGCAATCCACCAAAAGAGCTGAGGTTCTGGCTCTCCTGCGACAAAATTGTCAGTATTGCCACCGGCTCTCCATTGGCATAGGCCTCGATTTCAGCAATTCGACCAAAGGGGTCGTCCAGCTCCAAAAATCTGCGGCTAACTTCAACCACGCACCATCCATGATCTTCATCTGATGTAAACCTTCTCTGAACCAAAGTTGTGCGATAATTGAATGTAGCAGGCCAAACCAAAGTAGGGTCAATGAAGTTTTCCCCAACACTGCGCATATAGGGGTTGCCATCCACATTGGTCGCCCAGCGATTGTAGCGCAAAGCTTCTGGCCTGAACTTGTTTTCCATCTCCACCACGGCACGCACCATCAAAGAATCAGGTAGATCCACATTGGTATTTTCCACTCGGTAAACTTCAGTTTTGATTGCGAGAGAGTTTCTGACGAAGAAAACTGGGAGACGTAGGGTATGATCTGGTGATTCCAAAACCGGTCCATTGTTTCTTTGAGAAATTGACCAACCTGCTTGATAGAGTTGACCCAAGCTGAGGATAGCAGATTTGATGTTTCCTGCCACCAAGACTTGTGTTTCAGGTTCAGTTCGGTTTCCATCTTCATCATCAACCACCATACTTGCAGTTTTGATTTCAGCCACCTTCAGTTCTTGTCCTTGGCAATCACGTAGTTGTACTTGAGCATCATCAGCTGGTCCATCAATGCCACCACTGTCCAAAATGACCACATTCCTCTCGTCCTTCACATAGTTGTCGGAAACCATGCGCACTGATGATCCCGAAACCATACTTGCAGGAATGCCATAGATCTTTCTGATTGTTGTTGCCGTAGGGTTCGATGGAGGATAACTGCTCGATGCATAGGAACGCTGTTGTGTTCCACCTTGAGTTTGTTGTTGTTGCAGTCCTTGAGCTTGAGGTTGTTGTGCAGGAGTTGCATTGTTGATGACCTGGTTTGTCATCCTGTTGGGACACTCCCTGCTCCAATGACCATACTCAAGTCATAGACGACATTGTTGGGAATCTATTCCTTTGCCTTTTTTGCCACCTTTCTTTCCACTGTCGTTTGACTTTCCTTTTGATTTTCCTTTCTGCTTACCCTTGCCTTTGCCTTTGTTGCCACGACCTTTGCCGCGTCCTCGTCCACGGCCAGAAAATCCATAGCTACCAAAACTCAACCAACTCTTGCCCTTGGACTTGCCCTTGTTGCTTTTGCCTTGGTATATTTTTCCTTTCTCATTTGCAATTCGATCAACTTCCATAGGTGCAGGTCCATTGTTGTTGTTGGTCTCGGCAAAGGGGTTCAGCGACTTGAAAACTGCTTCCGTGGTCCATGACCTGGATGCCTAGTTCTGAATAACCTCCTTCAACTGCCAGTAGCTTGTAGAATCGCCAACAGTGACTTGTAGATGTTCATGTAGGCGATTTTCTGTGCACCTGATGAGAGTTGCCGATTTCAGTTCATCTGGATAGGTTTGTCCAGAAAGTTCTTCAAACTGGGCCACCAACGACTCGTAGTTGAGAATGTTCTCCATTACTGATTTGCTCGCAGGAAATTTGGATAGCTAGCCAATGCTTGTGCAACTGCCAGACTACGTTGACGACTAGCAGGGTTATACTCTGTCACCAAAGCACGCCAAAGTCAGAATCCATTTTTATTTTTTCCCCAAACTTCGAACCAAACCAACACATCTGCCTCTGAGGTAGGGGGTAAGAATGGGGTAGAGTTTGACTGAAAGATCTTGTTCTTCAGGAGAGTGGGGTTTGATGTCCTCGTTCTGCTTGAGTTGTTCTACTGCTTCAAGTCCATGTTGAGACCTGTGACCTGGGGTCTCCAAAAGATAGCCAGCTGCAGAATCCAAATTTCCAAGCTGCAAAACTATGTGGGTCATCCCCTGCGAAGCAGTCCGGGTTCTTCAAAAGTCTCGAAGCCATTGAAAGTCCAGCTTGTGCTACATCACCAGCTGATCCACTGCTACCACCACTTCCACTGGTAGCCATGAGGCCATGAGGTTCAGCACCTTTTCAGCTGCTGAGGCTGCTTCTGCTAGCGCTGACATCCTTTGCAGAAAGGCTTGTTCACCTCCTTGCATTGCTTGGCTGTGATAAGCCCATGAAGCAAATAACAAGGTTTTCAACTGCAATCTCGTTTGACGCCTTCGTACTCCAAGTTGTTTCCGTTTTGATTTGATCCTTGAAGATGTCCTTGCAGCACGGCCCAAGTGGCTCGCCAACATACATGCCACCAAACCCACAGTCCAGCAGCACCACATGTGGTTCACGGTCATGAGTCATGAGGTCCATGAACTTCTCCATGAACACCTTCACCCATGCCATCCACGCACGCCAAAGAAGTCCATGATGTGCGTGTTCACCAATGCCACTCACGCCTTCCAGGGTCCAAAACTCTTTCTCCAGGTTGAGTTGTGCGGGGTTGCCAACTCAATGCATTGTTCTCCATGATCATCGCCCCATTGCATCTTGGTCAGGTTGAACTCCATCTCGCAAGCACCAAATCCTCCGTCTTGTCTGCTGCCATGGATTTGAATTTCGGTTGCTTCAATTCCTGACACACGTTTCTCACACGCCAGTAAGACTTGAACTCCTAACAAACAAACTTCCATGTCTTCTCCAGGGGTCTTCTCCTTGATGTCCACCATGAAGCCTCGAACTCCATCATCTTCAGCAGAAATCTCACCTGCAGGGACTCGAACTCTGCAGTCATGTAGAAAACCTTTGCCTTTCTCGCACGCCCCAAGGACTTGAACCCGAGGTACATTCCACCAGGCAAGCATGTCGGCACCATCCACCTCCCGCTGCCTTCCATCGGCTATTCCTTCTGCTGCATGGGTCATTTGCGCCCATCTCAAATTTCTTCCCTCACAGCTTATGATCTCCATGTTTGGGTCGGAGCATCCATTGCTGAGCCACGCATCGTCCATCATGTCATACTGCTCCATGTAGTTTTCCCAGCTGCCACCAGCGCCCATCACCAACGCCATCGCGATCAGCATAGAGCGCATCGTGGAAAAAAATGTTACACTTCTCGATTTGCGGCGTGGTAGCATCATCGCCCTGGGCAGGGCTCCGCTACCATCTGAAAACGCTCAGACTGTCTTTTCCACAACTACTCGAACCACTCGTATTAGCGGCATGTGCAGTTGTCACATCTGATATGAACAGAAACTACACAGGTGTTGCAGGGTTAGCTAGAAAATCACGGTATTGCTTAGAGGGGGTGGCGGTTTTGATCCTTCATGAAGATAAAATGGAGTCAAAAAGTCAAGATCCTGTACCATATATTGGCCAAACGGGGTGGGCATTTTGGATCCCTCAAAAATCAGCGGGCTATAACCACCAATGTATTGTTCAGAGGAAGTGGCAGTGTTGCGCCCCCATGAAGATAGGTTGAAATTAAGATCTTCTGCAATATATTGACCAGAAGAGGTGGAAGTTTCGATCCCTTATGGCAAGAGGCTTAGGTTACTATGCACATCAATGTATTGTTCATTCAATATAATGGCAAGAAGAGGGTGCAGTTTTGACCGTTTAAAGTTCAACGGACCATGGCCACGAACGTATTGCTTAGAGGGGCTGGTTTTTTTGATCCCTCATGAAAATTTGAAATTAAATCCTGCTAAGTAATTGACCAAAGAGGGTGGCAGTTGTGATCGCTCATGAAGTTAGGATCCTGTTCAATATATTGGCCAGGGGGGTGGCAGTTTTGACCCTTTATGGAAATAAGATTAGGTTCCTATGCCCACGTATGTATTGCTGAGAGGGTGTGGCAGTTTTGATCCCTCCTGAAGTTAAGTTGAAGTTAAGATCCTGTCCAATATATGTTGGCCAGAGGGGGTGGCAGTTTTATACACATGTTTATCTGCTTCGGGGGCACTAATGAATTACAAAATAAACTGTAAACAGATTGAGGAGGCCAAAAGTGCCAGGATGCCATGGGGACAGGGAAAACAGGGAGACTGGGGCAGGTTTTTTTGAGGACAGGGAGGATGGGACGACAAAATTCAATGTTTTCCCAGCTGCCACCAGCGCCCATCACCAACGCCATCGCGATCAGCATAGAGCGCATCGTGGAAAAAAATGTTACACTTCTCGATTTGCTGCGTGGTAGCATCATCGCCCTGGGCAGGGCTCCGCTACCATCTGAAAACGCTCAGACTGTCTTTTCCACAGCTACTCGAACCACTCCGGAGAGTGGTTACATAGATTCTATTCCCCAGGTGCGTAGCCCAGGCTTCCAATTTGGAGGCGGACTGCACCAACGGAAAAAAGGAATAGCCAACAGAACCGTCACAGGGAAAAACCTTCTTGGAAGGGAAAAAACCCTGCGCCGAAACAAGTGAGGACGGACGTATGCTGACGAATCCATGCCCCCCAGCAAAAAAGGATAGGCCGCGTCAGCCGTGGAGGAGAACCA